AAAAAAAAAAAAAAAAATAGCCATTACAAGACTTCTCCTTTTAGTAGAAAAGCCCTCCAGCTAAAGCAAGATCCTGCATGATCAGTTCTGCATATTCTTTCCTAGATAGTGTGGGTAGAAAAATGAGAAGGAAAGCCCTGATCCGAAAGGAGCTCAAGTTCTTCTCCAGGTAGCTCAGGCAACAGGGTGAGTTTCCTGAGGGTCAGGGCTGACACCAGCAGAGGGTCGGGAAGCTATGCCCCGGGCTGGCTTCCAGCTCCGGGAGGAAGGGAAGCAACAGTGGTACAGGGCTGTGGAATCGTTTCCCCTGAGGATGAGGAAGACAGACCAAGTCCTCACTGTACACAGGAGACACACGTTAGTCTACTTGAGAAGAGGAGGAGGTGGCATCCAAGAGAGCCTGAAAAGACGAAAATAATTTTTGGAGCTCAAAAGGATATGGAAGGTCATTTCAGATGCCAGGGTTTGATCAATGGCATGGAGGCCCAGCCATACGGCTCAGGAACCAGGGGTGGAGGCAGGCAGGTACCTTCCTCCTGAGATCTCTGGCTCTGCTTCTTTGGAGGTTTCGGTATGCGAGGCTTCCTTTCTTGGCACAGCTGGTCTACTATTTGGAGGCTAAGATGGTCACTCGGCCATCTTGGGCTCCTCATGTCAACTTGATCAACAGCAAAAGTGGGTAATGGAGAGCTGGCGAGGTCATGTCACCCGTGTCTCACATCTCAGTACACAGGCCATGGCCTAAGTCATTACAAGATCTCTGAAATCCTGCCAAGATTTTGTCTTCTGGGAAATATCCCATTCTACGAAATCAGCCACAGCATGGACCCTGCATGAAGGTGTAGCCCAGAGTGACTGTGGCGGCAAAGGTTGGAGGCTGCCTCTTCTCCAGATCCTTACCAGGCTCTTCTAGCTCTCTCAGTCCTTCTTCCCTCTGACAGTAAAGGCTCTGGCATTCTCCATTCAAGTTTTCTACATTAAGTAATGTGTCACTTCATATTCTCTGATGCACAGACAAAGCACCTCCCCTCTTATGCAGATCCCAGTATCACTCCCAGTGCTATGCTCAGTACATGACCAGTAAAATCCAGCCCAAGAGTCACAGACCATCCCATGCAGAACCATCTGGAGCACCAGGAGCTACTCAAAGCCAAAAAAACCACCTTCACACAAACATCAGAGCTGCAAACTTGTAGCTGTATTTTTCCTTTCAAGGTTTCCACTCTGCGAGCTCTTCCGGAATACATTCAGAATGCCCAAATATAACTCAACGCAAACAACATGACTTACATATAACCTAAAAGATAAATGTTTTACGTGGTTGAAAATTACAGTATTAAGTTTCCTTTATGCATCAAAAATTATTTAAAGATTCACTGTATCTTCACATTTTCCAAAATAGCCAATGCATATGGGAGCACTTCCCCAAGAGCCGTGGGGAGAACGTTACCTTTCCAACCAGTCAGAAGAGTGCGTCCAACATGAACTCATTAAGAGAGTGTGCTCTCACCTCAGTCACGTAGCTGATGTATTCGATGGCATGTCCATTATACTCTTGAGTTTTTAAAATCAGTTTATCACCTAGTTAAAAAAATATATTACCATGTTTAAAGCTAACACAAAATCACAAATTTCTGTGCTGTCCTATAAAATCCAACATGAGGAAGTTCAATAAAACATTACTGGGGTCAGGTCGGGCATGGTGACTCACACCTGCAATCCTAGCACTTTGGGAGACCGAGGCAGGTAGATCACGAGGTCAGGAGATTGAGACCATCCTGGCTAACACAGCAAAACCCTGTCTCTACTAAAAATACAAAAAAAATTAGGCGGGCATGGTGGCGGACACCTGTAGTCCCAGCTACTAGGGAGGCCGAGGCAGGAGAATGGCGTGAACCCGGGAGGCGGAAGTTGCAATGAGCCGAGATCGTGCCACTGCACTCCAGCCTGGGCAACACAGCGAGACTCTGTCTCAAAAAACAAACAAACAAACAAAAATTACTGGGCTGTTTACAAATATTGAAATACAACAAAGAGGCCTGGTGCGGTGGCTCACACCTGTAATTCCAGCACTTTGGGAGGCCGAGGTGGGCGGATCATGAGGTCAGGAGAGCGAGACCATCCTGGCTAACACAGTGAAACCCCGTCTCTACTAAAAATACAAAAAATTAGTCGGGCGTGTGGTGGGCGCCTGTAATCCCAACTGCTTGGGAGGCTGAGGCGGCAGAACGGCGTGAATCCAGGAGGCAGAGCTTGCAGTGAGCTGAGATCGCGCCACTGCACTCCAGCCTGGGCGATAGAGCGAGACTCTGTCTCAAAAAAAAAAAAAAAAAGAAATACAACAAAGAAACATGTTTGCATGCTTGATGTACATAGGTTGCTGATTTTTAGTGAAATTCTAACCCAAAAGAAAGAAAATGCGATAATGTGACTGTCATATTGCCAGTTAAAGAGTATCTTTTCTCTCTTAAGGGTGGTTTCTCTGCTAGTCTACCTAGGGAAGCATGTGAGTAACAAACACACCTATGTACAGAGAAGGTCTCCCTTCGGCCAACCCTGGGACCTCCAGAACCAGCAGATCCCCATTCCTTCTTAAGACGATCCCGCTCATGTTATACTCTTTCAGTTCCATTTCTGCATAAATCTCCTCAAGCCACAGCAAAGTTGAAAACTTCTCCTTGTAATTTGACATGTTCAGAAGCTGGAAAACACATAAATGTATAGAATACAAAGTCAGCGACAGCGCAGCGGCACGCTGGAAAACTATAAAGTCAGCGACAGCGCAGCGGCACACTGGAAAGCAGCAGCTCTGCAGCGGGGAAGTCCCAACAGCTCCAGTTCAGCACATGGCCCCACAGGTAGAGCGATTCTCGCCAGAGTCTGCTAATGCCTCAGTACATTTCCCAGCCTTCAGCACGAGGGCCATGAGGCTCCAGCACGCTCCCTGGCCTTTGGCACGAGGCTGTGGGGCTCCAGCTGGTGGTGTCCCTCCCTGCACTGCCCGGCACTGTCCACCCTCCCTGCTCTTTTTCAGGTTGTCCAAGTTAATTCTGGAAAGGTAGAATTTGGCTTCCACAGACGTCTGTGAAAAAAGGACAAACTTCTAGGTCTGGCCAAAGTGGACTAACAAGAACCAGATTTACCCTTGTACCTGAAAAAAACTTAGAGACATAGAAATAAGAAATGATGGTGTTTAAACAATGAACATCACGCAGCACAGGACTGTGATCCCAAGACTGGGGAAACAATCCATGGAGGCCCCATGACTGACCCACCTGCACCTGAACAGAGCTCCTAGGCCCCAGCACAGAGGACTCGGGGAGCCGCATGGTCTCTGAGGAGAGGAGCTCTGGTCTATGGGGCTGGGTGCTGGGAAAAGCAAGCAGCACAGAGTGGTGTGGAGGGGTCGGGGGACCCACTCGGGACCATCAGTTCAGCACTGAGGAATGCACGAGACACCACCCTGCAAGACCCATTGTGGGGCCAGACCAGGGCCTCAGCATGAAGTGGGGGAAAACTCACAGCAGCCTGCCCGGAATCAGAAAGTGGGAGGGCAGAAAGTGCATCTGTACACATAGTGGCTGAAAATTTCCAAATGTGAAGAAAACTCAAGGCCACATATTCAAGAATCCCAATGAACCCTGAGCACAAGAACAGGAAGAAAAGAATCTCTACCACCACACATCATAAACCAAATCTATTAATATCAGTGATAAAAGAGAGAATCTTAAAAGCAGCTAAGAAGAAACAATGTTATGTGCAAAAGTGCAAAGATAAGAATTAAAGCAAAAGAACCCCATAAGAAAAACTAAAAAAATACTTAGGAGATGAATGAAAACAAAAACACAACATAGCAAGACTTATGGGAAAAGCATGAGCAGTGCTAAGGGAATTTGTGACCATGAGTGCTGATTCCCATGAGCACTGCAAGGAATTAGACAAAGGAGAACAAACTAAACCCAAAGATAGAAGAAGGAAATAAAGATTAGAAGAGAGATGAACAAAAGACAGAACTGAAAAACAATATAGAAAACCAGGAAAACAACAAGTTGGTTCTCTAAAAAGACCAACAAAATTGACAGACTTTTAGTAGATTAACTAGAAAAAAAGAGAAAGACATAAATTACTAAAATAAGATAGGAAAGTGGGAACATTACTACAGATTCTACAGAAATAAAAAGGATTATAAGAGAGTATAAGCAATTGTACACCAATACCCAGAAGAAATGGACGAATTCCTAGAAACACAAAACCTACTAAGACTAAACCATGAAGAAACAGAAAATCTGAATAGACCGATTACTACTAAGGAGGTTAAAGTGGTAATCAATATTCTGAAAAGGAAAACCCCAGGACCTGATGGTTCCAAAGCTAAATTCTACCAAACATTTGAAGAATAACTAATACCAAACCTTCTCAAACTTTTCCAAAAAGATTCAAGAGGAGGGAACACTCTGACTTACTCTTATAAGGCCAGCATTACCCTGATCCCAAAGCCAGACAGAGACACTTCACGAAAAGAAAACTACAGACCAATATGAACACTGATGCAAAAATCCTCAACATGATACTAGCACACAAAATTCAGGAGCGTATGAAAAGGATTAGCTGGGTGTGGTGGCTCATTCCTGTAGTCCCAGTTACTTGGGAGACTGAGGTGGGAGGATTGCTTGAGCCCAGGAGCTTGAGGCTGCAGTGAGCAGTGACTGAGCCATTGCACTCCAGCCTGGGCAACACAGCAAGACCCTGTCTCAAAAATACATACATAAAAGGATTACACCCTTTGATCAACTGGAATTTATTCCTGGAATGCAAGGATAGTTCAATATCTGAAAATCAATTACTGTAGCAACACACATTAACAGAAGGAAAGAAAAATCACATGATCATCTCAATACAGAAAAAGCAACTGAATTTTCTTTTTTTTTTTTTTTGAGACAGTGTTTCCCTCTGTCACCAAGGCTGGAGTGCAATGGTGCGATCTCAGCTCGCTGCAACCTCTGCCTCCTGGGCTCAAGTGCCTCCAAGGTAGCTGGGATTACAGGTGCATGCCACCACG